ATATTATGCCTGGGAATCACCTGAGCACACTACCCACCGGTTCTACTTCCTGACCAAGACCATCATTGGCTTGACATTCTCAATTCCTGTCTATTACCTGTGTTGTGTGTACGTGTTAGCTATCACATTTCCTTATCTTCCTCAGGTTTAATAGGCAATAAAACTTCACACTCTCCCTTAAGAAAACATTAGAATTTGCTCACCTTCATTTTAGATCTGGGTAATTAATTTTAATTGACGTCTGATAGCTGTGTGCCAAAAAAGAAATAAAAGATACTTATCGTGGCTGAGGGAGGTGTTAAAAAGAAGAGAACCCTGGTGAAAGAGAAGGAAATCCAGTTGCTGAAGGATTTAAAATTGATTTTAAAAAAAAGTATTGGATAGGTTGTCTGCTTAAAATGGACAGGGCACCAGGAAATGGGTGAGTATGTTGCAGCTGTAGTATGTGTGAGCTGGTGGACTCCAGTGCAATCCACATTGACAGCATCTGTAATAAGTGTTTGTGCTTGATAAACTTCGGCTCTGAGTTAATGATCTGGAGTCTGAGCTGTGGACAATGTGACACATCAAGAAGAGGGGAAGAGGTACTTCGATACTGTGCCCCAGGAGGCAGTCACAACCCTAAGATTATTTACATCAAATCTGTTCTGTGATCAGGTACAAAAGGGTGTGGCTGTATGTGAGACAGCTATGCAGATCCATCTCCATCTCCATTTACAAGCTTTCTGACGATAGCACCATTATAGGTTGGACCTGAAACAACAATGAGACAGAATACAGGAAAGAGATTGAGTGCTTAATAGCATGGTGTAAAGACAACAATCTCTCTGTCAACATCAGCAAAACGAAGGAGCTGGTCATTGACTTCAGGAAGCAGAGTGGAGAGCACTTTCTGTCTGCATTAATTTTGCTGAGGTAGAGATGGTCAAGAGCATCAAGTTCCTGGGTATGACGATTACCAGCAACCTGTCCTCCTGTCGACACAATGGTGAAGAAAGCACAACAACACCTCTACTTCCTCAGGAGGCTAAGGAAATTCAACATGTCATGTCCATAAAGGCTCGTACCAATTTTTATAGATGCACCATAGGAAGCATCCTACTAGGATGGATCACAGCATAGAGTGGCAATTGCTGCTCCCAAAACTGCAAGAAACTGCAGAGAGTCATGAACACAATCCAGCCCATCACACAAACCAATCTTTCATCAATTGACTTCATTGATACTTCCTGCTGCCTCGGGAAAGAAACCAAGATAATCAAAGACCCCTCCCACACCAATTAAACTCTCTTGCACCCTCTTCCATCAGGCACAAGATATGAAAGTTTGAATATACGTACGAATAGATTCAATGATAGTTCTTGGCTAAGAACTCCATGAGAACTAGTTTCTTGTCAAAATATGTTGTTACGATCTTTGTAAAGAGAAACAATCTATTACACTAAAAGATGGTTTTCCTGGCAGCCGACAGAAAAAAAACTGAAGGACAAGATTTCATAACGTGAACATCATATCATGTAAATATTATTTACAAGGCAACTAATGCACCTTATTAAGGGAAAGTTGTATTAACTAATTAACGGAATTGCAATTCAATTTTCTGGCACTGCAGTTCTGCCAGCGGTTTAGCAGCTCAAGGTAAAGTCTCTTGTTACACTCGGCTTTCCAGCAGACTGACTTCTCCATGCCTCACTGGCTCAAATCTTCCTTCAAAAATTGTTACACTGAGTATTTTGGACTGGACTTGCACCATCAAGACTGTGTTGACTCATTGCTCCTTAAATCTTCAAAGGTCTTGCAGTTCTGTCTCCTATCATTTGAGCAGTGAATCAGTTTTTAAAATGTTCTGCTTGCTTGTTAACACAAAATTGGCTGAGGAAAGGAGACAGAACTTATTTGTTAATGTGTACAAGGGGTTGTAATGGAGTTTCTCAAGGATTGGTACTGGAGTTTTTGCTTTTCCCTATACATATTAATTATCTCGTGCTTGATGTGCAGGGGACAAGTTCAAAGATTGAGACTGGCATAAAACTTGAGAAGTTTAAACTGAGGAAGGCAGTGTGAAACTTAAAAAGGCCATTGACGCAGTGATGTAAGCAAATAAGTGGCAAATGAAGTTCAAAGTGGTGAAGTGTGAAGCGATTCACTTTGGTACAAAGAACATGGGAGACAGTATAAAATAAGTGATGCTATTTTAAGGGTGTGCAGGGGCAGAGAACTGGGTATCTATGTAGGTAAGTCATTAAAGGTGGCAAGACAAGTGGGGAGTGCTGTTAATAAAGTATTCAGTACTCTAGACTTCATAAACAAGGACATAGAGTATAAGAACAGGGGTTTATGATGCATGTATATAAGGTACTGGTTAGGCCTCAGCTAGAATTTTGTGTGCAGTTCTGTGTGCCACACTATAGGAAGGATGTGAATGCTGTGGAGTGCAGAAAACGTTCATGAGAATGACATTGGCGAATCCAGAGTAAGAATACTCAACTGGAAGGCAACCTGCTCCCATAGAGAAGAACAGATGTACTGGAATCAAAGGTTGACAGCAGAAATAGTAGGTGAACAATTGGACCAAACAGCATGATTTATACATGGAGGCAATACATGGTCTACCTACAGCATATAGACTGTTGCTGTGCAAGAAGGCAACTCACCACCATCTTCTCAAGGGCTTTTAGGGATGGGTGATAAGTGCTCATGATGCCCACTGAAGCCTATGTCCTCTGAATGAAAAAGGAAATCTATCACTGGAAATCTTCAACTGCAGCATTATTTCAGACGTATCTAGGTTAAACTTCTATTGTGAGGTTAGACTGTGAAGCATCACAGCTCTCCTAAATATCTAACAATGTTGTCACATTGTTCGACATCCCTCAATCGTTCAAATCTATCCAACCTGTCCCATCTCCATGTATTTAATAACAACATGATCTTTAATCCCTTATACTGTAATGAAAAGAGCTTCATTTTTCCACTCTTTCAGTGTAATCGTATTTCCTGATATAAAACACTATCTATTGAATCTATAATGTTACGTTTATTACTTCAAAACCCTTTCTGTAGTTTGAAGTCTAAAACAACACAATGTTTAAACTATGGGCTTACTAAGATTTCAAATAAATTCACACCATTCCATTTAGACTTTACAATCTATTTTGTATTTCTTGCCATAAAATCTAGTATTACGTAAGTGTTTTTACCCTATATGTCTTTAATGTCTCGTGGTTCTCAACCCCTAAATACCTCTACTCTTGCACATCACATACCATTGCCCCTTTCATCTTTTCTCATTGAAATGTATCCTCTTACATTGACAGTCATTGAGTTCTATTTGATATTGTTTTTGCCCTTTCCATTGTGGATCCTTTGATCCTCGGAAATATTTATTAGGTTCTTTATTTTAATACTGCCTGCAAATTTGGGCAACATTCCCTGTTGTAGGAATTACATACAGATGTTAAATGTGTAAACTTTTGAAGATGCGCAAATTTTTCCATATTTGAATTCGCTGGACCTACTCTAATAAAAGGATTGAAAAGTTTTGTCCATATCTATTCTGAAAAGGAATTTTTAAAGTGATAACTGCAGATAAGGCTTAATGTAGAAAATCTCCCAGAATGTCCTCATAGGCTTGGTCATACAATTGCCACTGATTTCCCATGGTTTGTGAGGGGTAATGCATTGCATGGTGTGGTACAATATTTTACAGATTGTTGACTTGCTCGCCAAGCTGGCTTGTTTTCATTCAGACGTTTCATCACCATTCTAGGTAACATCATCAGTGAGGCCTCCGTTGAAGCAACGTTGTATAGGGAGTCCAATTCGATATGTTTGTTGATTGCATTATGTGTTGAGAACCATGCCTCTAGGAATTCCCGTGGGTGTCTATGTTTGGCTTGGGCTACTATGGTTACGTTGTCCCAGTTAAACTGATGGCCTTCATTGTCCGAGTGTACTGATATTAAGGAAAGTTTGTCGTGTAACAACGACAACGACATCTGGCAGCATCAGTGAAGGAAAAAACAGAGTTTTTTTCACATTCCTCAATCCCTGTTTTTTCCTTCACAGATGCTGCCAGACCTGCTGAGCTTTTCCAGCAACTTTGTTTTTGTTCCTGATTTACAGCATCTGCAGTTCTTTCGGTTTTTATTAAGTTTGTTGTGTCGTTTTGCAGCTAGCTGATGTTCGTGTCTTCTGATGGCTAGTTTTCTTCCTGTCTGTCTGATGTAATGTTTGTCACAGTCATTGCATAGTATTTTGTAAACTACATTGGTTCTGCATGTCTGGGCACGGTGTCTTTAATCCTTGACTGTTTGCCATAACGTGGCTGTGTGCTTGTAACTCGGACAGTGAAGGCCATCAGTTTAACTGGGACAATGTAACCATAGTAGCTCAATCCAAACAGACACCCACGGGAATTCCTAGAGGCATGGTTCTCAACTCATAATGCAATCAACAAACATATCGAATCGGACTCCATGTACAAACCCATACAAAACAGAACCGAAAACGACACTGCTCACCATAACGGACCAGACAGTATTAATTCCAAGTGGAGTAGAACAATATCGCTTCATCGGAGGCTCTACTGATGATGTCACCTAGCATGGTGACGAAACGTCTGAACGAAAACAAGCCAGCTCGGTGAGCAAGTCAACAGCCTCAACCACAACCCAAGCTACAAATCTTTGCAAAAACCTTAAACAGTATTTTACATACGTAAAATAATTCCTGTTTAGCAGGACCAGTGGAAATTAATGAAAAGTAAGTATACAGCACTTGTAAGGAAGACATCTTCTTGGAATCTTCTAACCTATGAATTAACAACTGAGGTAAAATGACGAGAGAAATATTGTGCATAATGGTGTTTTTTGGTGACTTTTCTTTTGGCATTGCTCAGATGGGCTGATTTACATGTGAGGCTTGAGATTAGGAAGGGCAGTTTGCAACCAGTAAACTACTCTGCATTAATTGTCTTTTTGTTTTAATTTCAAAAGAGACCTGGCAAAGTGCAATTTGGAGTCTCCTCCAACCTCACCTCAGGCAACACGCGCAGATGGATCGGACAAGAACCTTTTGAGTAGTTCCAAAGCTCATGCTAAGATGAAGCAGGAGACAGTGCTTATGGATAGATTTTTATCTCGGAGTCCTTCTGTCACCACCATGAGACCATTAGGGGAACAGTCTATGGAGAAGCAATGCAGTGTGGAAGAGACTAGCACTTGTGCCAAGCCAATCACTGCTGCATCTAATTGCTTGGGAGACCGAAGGCACAGGAGCACTGATGTTGCAGAACAACCTTCAACTTCACGGGAAATAGTGAAAGGTTGAGTGCTGATTTTTTTTTTAAACCTTTGATATAGATCACAGCTCTTTAAAACAGTACTAGTCTACCCGCTTGCCAGTAAATACAATTTGTTGCCACGCCTCCGTAATTAGTTCAAGTAGGATTGGCCCGGTGGCTCAGTGGTTAACACTGCTGCCTCACAGTGCTGGGGACCTGGGTTCGATTCCACCCTCAGGTGACTGTGTGGAGTTTGCACATTCTCGCTGTCTCTGGGTGGGTTTCCTTCCACAGTCAAAGGATTTGTGGGTTGGGTGGATTGGCCGTACTAAATTGCCCCATAGTGCCCAAGGATGTGCAGGCTAGGTGGATTAGGCATGGGAATGCGAGATTACAGGGATAGGATAGGGGGTGGGTCTGGGTGGGCTGCTCTTCGGAGGGTTGGCATGGACTCGATGGGCCAAATGGCCTGCGTGACAGGAATTTTGTGATTCTACTGGATGAAGGCTTATAATCATTTGGAAAAGCTATTTCTACATGGAGCGAGGAGCATTGTGGAGTTCAAACTTTTGAAGAGTTTTGATAAAGTTTCTTTTGGTGCTGTAACAGTAATGTCGCTGCACTATCCAGAAGCAGAGGCTAATTCTCTGATGCTTAAATTCAAATGAATTTATATGGAATTATGAAGCTAGTCTCAGTCATGGTGATAATGGTAGCTCTCACTGATTACAATAAAGTTCATTTGGTTGATGAATGTTCCTATCTTGGTCAGATTTCTGTGTGATTCCACAGTCACAGCAGATTAACTCTTAACTCCCCTCACACTGGCCTAGTCAGCCACTTAGTTGAAGGGAAAATGCTGCCAGTGATGTCCACATCTTATAAAAGGATTAAAAGAAGGAATAAATAAGACAAAGCTGTCTCCATTGGCAGCCGGGTTGGTAATCGGAAGATACAGATGCAGAACAATTGGCAAAAGAACAAGGTGGGAAATGAGGATGCGTTTGCACAGGTGATTATGATCTGGAACATGCTGCCAGATGAGGGTCTTGGAAATAGATTTGGTACTATCTGTAAAAACAAAATTGGCTGTATACTAAATCTCAGAATTGTTGTCAGGCTGAAAGAGGCCATTTGGCTTGTCATGACTGAACTGGGTGTCTGAGCAATTTAACTTGAGTCAATTTGCTGCCACTTCCCCAAATGCCTGAACTTTGTTTGTATTTAAAATATCATCCACTGACCTTTTGAATGCCTGAATTGAATGTGCCTTCAACACACTTGCAAGCATTGCATTCCATACCTTAGCCACTAGCTGTGTGAAACACTTCTACACTCTGTCTAATGCATTTATATCCTTCCTAAAGTGTGGCGCCCAGAACCAGACACAGTGTTCCAGCTGAGGTCTAACCATTGTCTTGTATATGTTCATCAGAACCTCCTTGCTCTTGTACACTCTGCTCTTATTATGAAGCCCAGAGCACTGAATACTTTGTTGCTCTCCCTACCATCCTGCCACCTTTAATGACATTTATCTGCTCCTGCTCAATCTTTAGAGTAGTACCCTTTCTTGAAATGTCTCCCCATGTTCTTTGTATCAGGGTGCCTCATCCCTCATACTTCACTGCATTGAACTTCACCTGTCATCTCTCTGCTTACACCACCAATGTGTTGATGTCCTTTTGAAGTTCTGCACTCCTTCTGTCAGTTTACAATTCTTCCAGGTTTTGTATTGTCCACAAACTTTGAAATTGTCCACTGCACACCAAGATCAAGATCATTTATATTGCATGTCAGGAAAATCAAGGGCCTCACTACTGACCCCAAGGGAACTCCATTACAAACCTTTCACTAGACTGAAAAATACCTATTCATCATTCCTCTGTGTATATTATTAGTTAACCAATTTTGTATGCATGTGGCTATTGTTCTTTCTCTTGATCTTCCTTCTCAAGCCTTTTGTGTGGTGCTGTGTCAAATGCCTTTTGGAAGTTCATGTATACCACATCAAGTCTTATGCTTATAAACGCATGGTACCTTTTGGAAAAAGCTCCAACAGGTTAGTTGGACAAGATTTTCCATTAATGAATCCATACCAACCTTTCTGAATCACATTTCTTCCATGTTATGATTAGTTCTATCCCGTGAAATTGTTTCTAGAACTTTCCCCACCATAGAAGCTGAACTGACTGGTCTAAAATTGCTGGGCCAATCTTTTCAAACATTTTTGCGTAAGTTTGTGATTCTCCAGTCCTTCGGCACCACTCTTGAACCGAGAGAAGATTGAAAGATTATGGTTTGGTGCCTCTGCAATGTCCACTCTCAAGTCTGTCAATATCCTTGGATGCATATCCTCTGATCTTAGTTGATGTGCTAACAGCTTATCGAACACTATCTCCTTATCAAGTTTAAACCACTCTTGTGACCAAGTTTCCTCCTCCCAATCACCATGGCCGAGACATCACTTGCCTTGTGGGTAAAGACTGTTGCAAAGTATTAATTTAACACCTCAGCCATGCTTCTTGCCTTTGTGTAAATCCTGCTGTTTGTTCAGCTACTGTTTCTCCTGCCAACCCTGGATTCCAGTGCATCATTTCTGCCTAATGGAAGTAGGTTGCCTTCCAGTTGATTCTTCTTACTGTGGATTGACCAATGCCATTCTCCACCATCATTCTGAACCTTGTGAACCAATGACCACTGTCCCCAGATGTTCTTTCACTGCAACTTGATTTACTAGGCCAACTCGTTTTCTGAGAATTGGATCTAACAGTACCTTCTTTCTCGTTGGACTGGACAATGCTGTAGGAAATTCTGCTGACTACAATTTGGGAATGCCTGTCCATTGCAGCCCCTTGTATTACCACTATCCCAGTTTGTATATGGGTAATTATAGTCCCCCATGACGCTGTTGATACCTGTCTATAATTTTCTGGCTGATTTGTTCTCTTTATCTTTCCCACAAGTAGGTGGTCCATAAATTACACCGAGCAATATAATGTCATTCCTTAGCTCTCGCAAGTTGATTCTGTCCTTGAACCCTCTGACACATGCTCTTTCTCCAGTACTGCAGTGCCTTTCTTAACCAAAAAAGCCACCCCTCTTTTTTTACTTTCTAATCAGTTCTGATCACTTTATAACCAGAAATAACTAACACTACCTCCCAGTTCTTTTGTCAGATCTCTGTCATAACCACAACATCATAATCCCATAAAAACTGTGTCTATAACTCCCCAATCTTATTGACTATACTGCATGCATTCACATACATGCTGCGTATCTCTGATTTACACTGCATTAATTTTTTTAGTTACATACTTACTAATTTTTATTCTCTGTTTTACTGCTGTCTGCCTCCCACCATCTTGTGCAGCCCGGTATTTATTTCTAATATTCTGGTTCCCACAACCCTTCTGGACTGAGTTTAACCCCGCAAGGAATTGTCACTTGCATGATTTTATCTGGTGTCTGCAGTCTTTCTTCTCAAATTGTTTTATCTTGTTTTTGCTCATTCTCATGCCCTTTTATATGGTCGTCTGTCTCTGTCATGCTACTTTTATTTGGTATCCGTTTTCTGTTTGGTCTTGTTTTATCTGGCGTCTACGTTATATCTGTCGGGCTGTTGTATCTCTTGTCTGTGCTAAGGTTTTGGAGTAGATTTGTAGCTCGGGTTGTGGGTGTTGAGGTTGGTTGGCTCGCCGAGCAGGTTTGTTGTTCCGTTGACGTTTTGTTACCGTGCTTGGTAGCATCCTCAGTGCAGCCTCTGATGAAGCCCGGTGTGTTTTCCCGCCTAGCTTTTAAACTCTGGGATCCGTTGTGATGGATTGCCTCACTTCCGGGTTTCCTCCGTAGTGGAACGTATATAGGGTCGAGTTCAATGTTGTCTGTGCTGTCTTGCTAGTTTATCATGTCTTTTCTATCTCTTTTGCACTGTTTATCTAATGTCTGATCTCTCTTTGCATTATTTTATCTCATGTTCACACTCTCTTTTATCCCTCTCTCCCCAACTTCCCCCCCACCCTGTCTGTGTGTGTGTGT